TGGGCACAGCGGCGGCGCACTGGATGGCACTGAACCTGTGGGATGGATGGAGAGAGGGAGGGAAAAACCCCATTAGCCTCCTCAGCTCTGGGTGCTCACCTCAGCTTCCCCCCTCCTGCAGTGCCAGTGCCCCTCCGGGCCTGCACACTCCTGTTATGGAAAAAGGAGCAATTGAATCTGTGCGTGGGACAAGAAAGGAGGGCTGGCACACTGCAAGAGACCTCTGATGAAAAGATCAGCTGAACCTGTCAGCAAGAGCCACAGCATTCATGTGTCAAACAAACTGTGCAGCTTTCCTGGGGGGTAAAGGCCTTCTCCACACCCAGGCTGGACAAGGAGCAGGCTGCATTTTATTCCTAAATGGGTTACACTCTCTAAAGCCTGTGGCAGAAGTTGCATGGCTGAGTGAGGATCTAAAACATTTATAACTTTCTGATGCTCTGACAAAGCCCACAGCTGCTGCCACAAGCAGCCCCACTCGGCCAGGTAGGCAAACCCCAGCTGAAACTGAACAATTGAAATGGCTCAGAAAACATCCACGACATTCCGATTTAACTCCACTAAGTCATTTCCAAGTAATCCCTGAGAGTGAGAAGCAGCCTGGATTATAATGGTCTGAAACTTGATTGTTTGGGGATGTGGAGACACAAGAAATAAATGACATACTCAGTTACAGCACAGCTCACTGACAGTCAGGAATAGCAGCTCCCAAAAATAGCTGAACTCTGCTCCCCACTGTGCAAATCACAGGCGACGCTTTCCAGATTTCCCACAGAAATGCCACAAAAGAGCCCAGCTCACGCCTCCCAGCCCACTGAATTACACAGCATATTTTCATTTGCCTAAGAAATAAAGCAGCCTTCTCTCTGCCAGTTCAATTCTGTGCCTCAGCACTAGCTGCTCACATGCACAGTCCACTTCTACTCCCATCCGGATCTGTATGAACAAACAACACCATCTCCACAGCACTCCCAGGCTGCAGCAGCAACCTTCTGACATTCAAACCTTTAAAGGAAGGAAAACAGACATTGAAGGAAAATAATCCTACTCTCCTTTACACTTTCAATCTGTTTTCAACATGGTGAATAATACAGCTCTCAGGGCAGTGTGAGCTCCTACTCTAAACACCACCAACCCTCCAATACATAACATTGTCACAAATAATATTGTCAATGGTTACGTTGATGCGCAGCAGAGCTCAGCTAACCTTCCCCTATTTCCCAGTCAGCTTGCCCCGATGCTGCTGTGTGACTACACCTTTATGGGCTTGACCCAAAATTCACTAAATAACCACTGAAAAAACAGGCAGTACTTGGACTATGCTCTGCAAACAAGGAGCTGCTTCTGTTTGGGAAGCTGGCAGTGCCAACAGGCATTAAACCCAGATATTGGTGTTAGTGCATCTAACCACCTCCACTGTCTTCACTGCAAAGCAGGTCCCACAGAAACCCAGAGGAGAACAAAGATCCCTGTCCCAGAGCTGTGAAATATCTGCACAGACAGGGAGGTTCTGTTTGCTACAAACCTCACACAATCAAACCTCTGGCTTTTGCAGGTCCTGCAGCAATCTTTTCCCAAGTGTCACAGACAATCCACGCAGCTGGCAAGAGAGGGGGAATGGGATCAACCTGTATTTGCTTCAGCCAGGTCACAAATGAAGAAGGTGCACTTCTTACTTTCCTTGGGAAATCCTGTTTCAAAGCTGGATTTACAGGCAGGCCTCAGAGAGCTGTGTCAGAGCCTGGATTATCTAACCCTCCTGGATGTTTAAATCCCAGAGGATACAAGCGTCCCTAAGGCACAAGGATCAGAGCACTGCCTAAGAGTGAACAGAGTGGAACAACGGCAGGCACACCCGGGGCACGTGGCTGTGCTGAGTGGGATCACCCAGCTCCTTTCCAGGGCACCCACCCAAACACACAGCTCCTCCTTTCTCTGCCACTCTCTTGTCAACACTTTGGACAGGGCCACATTGCTCCTCTCAGATTCTATACTCTTGCTATGACACACCCTTCAGGCATCCCCTTCAAACCAGATTGGTCATGGCACCGTGCATCCCCATGACTTCAAGCTGAAGCTGTCCTGGTGGGAACAGCACACAAGTGAGAAGCTGCAGCTGCTCAGGAGGGAGCCAGGGACTCCTGGGGGCTGCATCCCTCCCAGCTCTGCTCCAGCTCCACCAGGAAGGACACTGCTGCTGCCCGACTGCTCTGTGTGCTCCCCCTATGTCCCAGAGATCACAGCCTACTCTGAGCAGCAATGACCCCACAGAGACCAAAGCCCAGCTCCTGGAGGAGGAGCTCCTGTGAGACACCTTCAGAGAACTGGACGAGTCCAGAAGATGAGAACACAGTTTCACAAAACAGAAAGCAAACTCCTGTAAATGCTTTGCAGAGCACATCATTCATGGCTTTATCAGCCTGTTTCGATTTTCTCTTCCTGTGTGGCTGAGAACTGGATTAAAATGGCCATGATTAAGTGTGGCCTGGGAAAGAGAAACGTTTCCAGCCATCAGACAAGCCAGGTACTGGAACAGCCCCCTTGTCAGAGTAAGGACCAAGTGAACCAACATTTGGCTCATTTACACAACAGCCACACAATGAGCTCTTTGGACACTGCTCTGGCAGGACTCTGAGGATCTCTTTTCCCAGCTCTCTACAAGTCCAGGCCTATCTAGTGAGCACTGGAGTCTGGAAGTGCTTCAGAAGGCAAAGGAGGCAGGAGTCACTCACTTGCTGCAGTGCTGCAGGTTTGCTTTGACAATGTCGTAGTCGGTGTTGTAGAGGGGGGAGCTGTCCTTGAGCAGGGCCTTCTGGATGCTGTACACGTGCACACTGGCAATTGTGGACAGCTTGGACTTCATTGCTGGGGAAAAGAGAGAAAGAAAGCCCTCTGTTAGCACACCCAGCAAGACTGACAGACTACTTGACAGCAAAACATGAACACAAAAAGGTCCAGCCACACCTCCCAGCGTTCACTGATGAGGAATTCAAGGCAGCAAACCCCACAAGCCTGTCACGTTTTCCACTACACACTCTTGGGCTTAGGAGGGATCTCTCTGTGTTTGCCTTCCAAACATCCAGTGCTTGGGATGCACAACAGCTGAGGGAGTACCTAAAGCTGAGGCAGAAGGTAGCTGGTAACTGCTCTCTGCCCCTGGGGCTGTGTCCAGCACCACAGTGCCACCCCCAGAATGAAAACTTTCTCCCTTTTGTGTTACTCAGACCCCTTGAGACTAGGGTTGGCTTTCAGGAATTCTTTGTTCATTGCTTATATTGTTCTTTCCACAGAGTCCTGGTCTGAGGCTGAGCTTCTAGGCACTGTAAAAATACACACAGTAATCATTTCTTGGGGCCAGTCCTAGACTATGCAGCCCTACTCCCATCAAAAATCTCAGCCTCTTCCAAATATAAGTCATGCCTTTGGCCTGCCTTCCAATACAAAAACCATGAGCAACCCTTTCCTCCACAGCAAAACAGTGTTACACAGCACACATAACTCAACAAACATGACACAGAGTAGCTGCCCTGCCTGACAATCTCCTACTCGGAGGCAAAGGGCCTGAGCTAGAAATCCACTTCACATTTCCAACAACGCAAGTCCTTCAAACAAAGTGAGGTCATGAGCTCACATCCTGAAGGTCACAAATACCACAGCGTGCTCTCAAGTGCCAAAGATGTTATTTGAAAGTGATGAAGAGCCTGAAGCTGCGTTTCAGTTCTGTGGGTAAGATTTCATCAGCAGGACCAGAAAGATGGTGAGATGACAGTGCACTCAGCAGTGTTGCAATGGGGGTTTTTCCACCTTGCACTCACAAAAGTGAAATAAATGTTCTATGAGAAGGTCTTAACACCCACAGGACTCGGAGCAAAGACTGCAATTGCATTGAATCAATAACCACAATTACCAGTTCCAGCACTCTTGGGGGCCTGAAGGCTCCCAGTTGTTCTGAGACACTACTGGTGCATTGCTGTCTCCCTGCTGTCAGTGGCAGGGAGGTGGAAAAGAACCACTGACAAAAAAAAAAAAAAAAAATCAGACTCAATTCACAACCTGAAGGCATTCAGCTGCTGGCTCAGACACTCCAAATTCTGAGAAACAGCTGGTACAAAAAGTACACACCTGACCCCAAGAGCCTGGCTGGGCATTTACATGCAGATGGCAAGTTCTCAGCTTTGCTCATTTTGCTGTTCTTTCAAAGAAAAAAGTTAAAGCCACAAGACTTTGCCAGCCTGCTTACCTTCCAGTTCATCCTCCCTCACTACTGCAACCTTGTGGCACTGCAAAAAAGAAACACAAAACCTCTTTAAACCTGAGCTTGTATGCAAGACTGCAACTTACAGTTATTAAATAGCAAAGCCTAATGATTATTGTAGCACAGAACAGTGCCAATGCCTTTAAACACTCATCAGTTTTTAAAGCTCTGAAATGTGCTCTCTGGCCAGTCTTTAGGGTCTACACCTCTCCAGGACATCTAACAGGCTGTGGTTAATACCAGGAGGATCCAGAGAGACAGACTAAAAACCCCACCACTAATTCTGTGCTAAACAGATACCATGGACCTGTCTGAAATCAGGGAAAATCCTGCTAAATTCAGGCTATAAACATGACACTGCCTCTGCAGCTGTAGTTAAATGCATCCCACTATACAGAACTAATGCAATAAACAATTATCTTCCATTTCAGACAGATTTGGGGATTAAAAGACAATATTAAAAGACAATATTCCGTGCATGTGAACCAGTTTATTATTTAGGAGAAAAAAATTAAAAAGTTTTTTTTGGCTTTTTTTCCCCAATCTACAAATAAAAGCCAGGACACCCTGAGATTTACTATTACTAAAAGAAGGCTGGATCATATTGTAATAGATATTTGTAATTTATTGTAATAGATATTTAAAAACACTCAGTGGGATGTCAAAGGCATTTAGTGTTTGGCTCTTAAATTTATCTGTGGGCAAAGGGGAACAGACACTGAATTTTATCTTCTTTTAAAAACCTCTGGGGTATCTGCCTGAAGTTTTAGCTGACATTTCTGAAAATCTGACAAGCTAAATGCATTTAGCAGCAATTCTTTTGCTTAATCAGCTGAAGCACTGTAAATATAAAATACCGTAAGTGAAAGTTTCTTTGTTCACCAGGATTAAAAAGTTGCTTTAATTAGGCAGTAGAACACCAAGTGGCAAGAAAACCCACAGGCAGGTAAAAGGATAACCAAAGATTGGCCCCTGGGTGCAGAAAGCAGCAAAGAAAGAACGTGCAGTGTTAAGGGGAGCACTCCAGAGGGATTTCCACAGCTCTCCCTGCAGGAGTGCTTCAGCTGCATCCGCAGCATTCCGGCTACACCTACTGCCAGCAGGCAGCAGTGCAGGGCTCTCCCAGCACATCTGAAAATAATGGGGGACAAAAGTCACCTTCATATAATTCCCCTTGGTGGAAGATTCCCTGCCTGCACCAACCCAAACCATCCAGTGACACTGTGATATTATTTTAAAAACTCACAAGCTGCTAAGACACAGTAACAAAGTTATTTGTGCCTATCTCAGAAGTCACCTGTTTGTTTCAGGTACATTAAATATAACATTAAATATAACGTTGGCAGTCCCCTGGCCAGTTCTAGTGAGCCAAGAGATTTTTTATTTTCAAAAGAAATGGGGGAAAATCTGTTAAACTTGGGCTGTAAATGTGACACTGCCTGTGCGACTTGAAACATTCCATCACCCTGACACCCTGAGATTTACTATTCCTAAAAGAAGACTGGATCATATTGTAATAGATATTTGTAATATATTGTAATAGGTATTTAAAAACACTTAGTGGGATGTCAAAGGAATTTAGTGTTTGGCTCTTAAATTTATCTGTGGGCAAAGGGGAACAGACACTGAATTTCCTTTTCTTTTAAAAACCTCTGGGGTATCCGCCTGAAGTTTTGGCTGACATCCCTGGAAATCTGACAAGCTAAATGCACTAAGCAGCAATTCCTTTACTTAATCAGTTGAAGCACTTTAAATGTACAATGCTGCTAATAAATTCCTGTTTGTTTTGCTCACCAGGACTAGAAAGCTGGTTTAATTAACAAGAGAGCTTGAGCTGTAGGTGTGCTGCTCTGTTGGTTATCATTCCCTGCCACTTGGGCTGTCCCTCCAAGCCCCCCCTCAGGCACCCCCAGGCCACACAGACCCTGGCAGGTGGCTGAGCTGATCTCAGAAGGGCCCCTGCACAAGGCTGTGTGATCCATCTTTGCTGCCCAACAGCAGCGAGGGCACGGCCCTGGGTGCTGGCAGCATCTGAGTGAGTTAGTGAGGAACCCTGGGGTGTTATCCAGCACTGAGCCCCCAAACCATGGCAGCTGATCCTTCTGCCTGCTGGGACAGACCCTGAGCCTCCTCTGTCCCTGCCCAGGAGCCAGGGCAGCTCTGACCCCAGGAGCACAGAGAGAGGCAGGAGACACCACAGCAGAGGCTCCCAGAGAGAGGGGAAGCACTCACAACGTGTCCATTCTGGAGGAGGTTCCCTGCCACCAGGTAGGTGACGTGCAGCTGAGCCCCCGAGTTCTCCCTGCGCTTCCTCTCCACGTAATCGTAGAGCATCCTGCACAAAAGAAACCAGGGTCAGCCAGAGAGGAGGGGAGAGAGCCTGCAGCCCTGCCAGGGAGGGCCTGCCACACTGAGAGCCAGCCTGGCACGGACACCCAACAACAGGGACACCGTTTCCTCAGGATTCACTGAGCTTCCTCAGGACACCTGCCAACAGGCACACTGTTTCCTCAGGATTAATTTAAATTTATTTAATTTCCTCAGGGGTAATTTTCTGAGACCCTTGCTCCTCTGCCACTGTGGAGAACCCCAGTCCAACAACCACAGAAACCAAAGGGCAAATTCATTTAACAGCATATAACACCTATAATGTAATGTAATTAGTATAATATAATTTAA